GTGGTGCACACGTTCACGTTGGTGCCCGTGGAGGACTCGGCGGCGAAGTGGGCGGCAGTGGCCAGGTAGTCGTAACCTGCCTTCGGCTTCATGATGTACGCGACCAGCACGTGCTTGCCGTTCCTTGCAGCAGCATAAAAGACTGCTCAGGCCTAGCAAGCGTGCATCAATCGGACGACAGTCACGCATGAAACTTCCACCTTGCAGCTGAGTCTCTTGATAAGCGTGGCCTCATCCAGCGAGAGGTCTGCGTATCGGCTGGACTGGTCCAACGCCTTGAGTGTCACCCGGCCCTCCTGCAAGGAACGGAACGCAACACTGCATTGACACAGTAACAACGGAGGTCGCTCAGAGGTGCTCGCGCTCAAGCCTTAGGTTGGCAAAGCCCTCCTTGCCTGCGCCGGCACTACTGTTGTCGGGAGGATGGTGCTGCGCGTCTGGCGTCCTTTCCAATTCGTGGCTTGGTGAACAGCAAAAGCTGCGGGAAGCCATAAAACTTAAAACCGTAAAACCGAAAGCCTCATAACCCTTAGCCGCAAACCCACGAAGCACCCAAGCTTGCTTTCGGTGTTCAGGGCGCGTTGCGCATGTGACTGCGCTGCTTTGGGGCGAGAGCGCGGAGGATTATAGGCCAATGGCTTTTTGCATTAGGCGATGACTTTGCATTGTCGATGTTCCACGACAGCACTCACAGTCTTCAGAACAGCAGACATGTTTAGCTGTTGCACAAGTGATACATATTTATACAAGCCAGTGTGGTGCTCGTCAACAACATCATCGTCAGAACAATCGCTTGCGTCCTTGATTGCTTGCTTGTTTGATCGCTTGATTGCTTGATTGCTTGGTTGCTTGATTGCTTAGCTGATTCGTTGAACCGCTGATAAGCTGATTAGCTACTTGGCTGATGAGTTGATTGGTTGAGTGGTTGATTAGTTGATTGGTTGATTAATTGGTTCATTGATTGATTGATTGCTTGCTTGCTTGCTGGAGTGATTGATTGATTGAGCGAGTGAGTGATTGCGTGATTGACTGATTGAGTGAATGAGTGATGAATTGACTGATTGACTGACTGACTGACTGACTGACTGACTGACTGACTGATTGACTGATTGATGGGTTCATTGATTGAATGCACGCTTAACTGATTAGTTAAATAACTATTTAACTTAATATTTTTCATCTATATACTCTTCATTGTCAAATTGATTTGCTGGTCGGTTGGTTGAATGAGTGTTTGATTCATTGAATGCTTGATTGACTGATTGCTTGACTGAGAAATCCATCGGCTAGTCCACTAATCAGTTCCCCAAATATCAATCCGGTTGTGAGCAACACACCTTCGTTTGTATATGCCTCAGTGTGTGCACGTGCGCATCTATGCAGGCAGTGTGCTTGCATACACATATATATATATATATATGTATATATACATGTGGATACATGGATAGATAGATAGATAGATAGATAGATAGTTGCCGGTTCCTTGTTTACTACAGTAAACAACTTCTGACACAAACAAAAAGCAACAGATGGCCCTGCAGCAAGGGGCGAACCGGCAGGAATAAGTTGAGAGTTCAGCTTCGAGTTCTGCGTTCATTTAGGTTTCAGGATGCACAGGGTGGTATAGGGTTTAGGGTTTAGGGTGGTCTAGGTTTAGGGCCAAAGTAGTTTGGAATCTATTGCTAGCGCTCTGAAACCGTACCTCAGGAACGCCCAAGACCGAACTCTCGAACCAACACTCCAGCACTCTCATAATTTTCTACTCAGCTACTATTGCTACCTCCTGTCCGTGGCCCAAAACCACGCAAGCAACCCGAAGCCTAAACCCTTTTTGTGAAGCTGGACTTGATGTCTGCTAGCATACCTCCTCTGCCGTTCTTCAGCTGAGGCCCGAAGACGTCAGCACGCAATCACTCCACTCTCTAGGATAGGCACTCCACGTAACGACCGCCGAATGTTGAAGCCAAACCTCCCTGACCACATCTGGCAGCTCCAGCCGCACACAATCCTCAACCCCAAACCCTAAGCCCCAACCGTTAACCCAAACCCTAAACCCTAAACCCTTTTTTGACCCGAGGCTGTGATCAACCCTAAACCCTAAACCCTAAAGCCCCGAACCCTATACCCTAAACCCTNNCCTAAGCCCCAAACCCTAAAACCCGAAACCCAAAATCCTAAAACCCTAAACCTTAAAGCCCTAAACACTAAACCCGAAACTTCATAAAACCCTAAGCAAACGGCTCACGCCAGCCTGGCCGAGCACCGGCAGCCACTGCTGCGGCAACGGCACCACCGGCGGCCTCTTTCGTTGCGCTTTGGCTTTAAGGTTTAGGGTTTTAGGATTTAGGGTTTAGGGTTTTAGGGTTTGGGGCTTAGGGTTTAGGGTATAGGGTTCGGGGCTTTAGGGTTTAGGGTTTAGGGTTTATGGCTTTAGGGTTTAGGGTTTAGGGTTTAGTGTTTAGGGTTGTAGGGTTTTAGTTTTTGCCTCCTGCATGGCCGAACAAGTCGCGAAGCAGGGTCTTGGTATGACTTTGGTAAATTCAGCCCATCCTGTTCGGACAAGAGCAGTCCAGCACATTCTCATGCGCTCTGTATGCGCATCAACTCTTGCAGTGCTTTTTCAAGGCAGGCAAAATGCCTACTTTCGCCTCAGCACCTGCATCCAGCTGTTTCAATGCCCATCGTCACATGGTAGGTAAATTAGGAGTCACTACAAATTTCAAACTTAGCACATGCAAATGTCAGGCGTGTGCTTGCACATAGGTCAGAAGTAAGCCACCATGTATTGCACACAGTGGCACGTCCCAGTCACTTCAGGGTTTAGGGTTTAGAGTCTAGGGTTTAGGGCTTTAGGGTTTTAGGGTTCAGGGTTTAAGTTGACCTTCGCATGAGCCTGGGAGCCCGCCCACCAAACGCCACAGAGAAGCTGATAACCAGACCGAGTTTCCGAGGATCCGTCTCAAGATGCAAAACTCGGGTTTAGGGTTTTAGGTTTTAGGGTTTAGGGCTTAGGGCTTTAGGGTTTTACGGTTTCGGGTTGCCCTTGCAGACAGAGAAAAAAACCCTGCTGCAACCATGCACACTAAACGCACACAGACACCCCGCGTTACCCTGAACTCGAAGCCGCGAAACTCTACCCCCGAGCTGGGTCCTGAAGCCTTCTACATCAAGGAGAGCTCCCTAGCTACGGTATAGGGTTTAGGGTTTAGGGTTTAGGGTTTAGGATTAGGGTTAGGCTTGCAAGAACGCAAGCCCGCCACTGTTATCACATCGAGAATCGTGACACCCTCAACCTTAAACGCTTACGATCCTGAATCTGCTATGAGCCTGGATCGCCTGCACCTTTAAGCCCGCATAGACCATACACTTCCTGTTCGGGCTCAGAGCGTCGTTTGGGGTGGATCAAGCCTTACCCTGAACCCTAAACCCTAAACTCTAAACCCTAACCGACTCGTCCTGAACTCCCCAAACTCGGCAGTGAACCCTGGAATCCTTGTCCTTGTGCGTCGTAAGATTTCGGATGCTTGCGAATCTTGCGAGACCCGTTGACAAGACCATGCTCCTCAACACTGACCCTAAACCGCCTTCACCCTAAACCCTGAGGGCCTAAGGCCCTGAGACCCTGAACCGCAGACCCAGAAGCCAAAACACTCAAGACTCTGCTCCGCCCGTCTTCGAGGCCAGGTGGCCAAGGTGGACAGCGAAGAGCCCGCATTAGCGGATTGGGCCTCAGGGTGCACCACCGCCATCACGACTAGTACATGACGATGCTGCTGCACGACTTCTGCAGCACCGCTGCACGACCAGCTCACCGCCACCAGCGCCAAAGCTAAACACCACCACCACGCACCACGATCAGAACGACTCACAATCTACGGAGGCCCGCGCCTGCGCGGCGGGGGTGCCCCTCAGGGCTGGCTGTGACGCGGCCGGCGCTGCCACAAAAGCCAAGGCGGCATTGAGCAGTGCCACTCCGCCTCCCAGCTCAGGGAGAAGGAAACCCGCATGAAGAACGCGGGTTTTTGGGTTTGGGTCGGTGTCGCCGAGGATTCCGACCGTGCTATCTGATCACAGCTTGTGTGCGGCGTAGGGTTTCGCCGAGTCCACGCTGAAAAGCCCCTCAATTCCCATGGCAAGTTGCCAGCGGCGGCTCCGGCGATGGCCATTCTCGACGAGCGCTGCGTCATCCTTGGGCAGAGAGAAGCGGCACGGAGTTTAGGCACGATAAAGGCTCTCGTCAGGCTGCGTGTTGGTTTGCAAAAGCGTTCAGGCGGTTTAGGTCAAGCTTTCTGAAAGTTGGGGTGAAGTGTTGAAGACCTCGTGTTTTAGGGTTAAAGGGCGGGCTTAGGGTGAGGACCCATGGCTCCACAGTAGCGCGTGTCGGGGTTTTCTTGATGTTCCTTGCGAATCGATGTCTTCCTTCCATCCATATGGTCGGAAAGGAATCGGTTTTCGCGGCTCTAGGGCAGTAGCTTGAGACTAATGCTTCTTGGGTATCCTGTGCTATGTTATCCAAACCTATCACCCTGCCGTCTTGAGATCTTTTGCAGCACTGTTAGAGACAGGTCCAGGTACGGCAAGGCAAAGTATGGCTCATCAACAGAATGCCTATGTGGGACACCGATCTGACGGATGTCTATGGGATGCCACAAGCCCTGGCAGCTTCTAATTTTCAACTTACTTCGACGCATGAAGCAAAGCTGAGGCCAAGAGCTTCAGAGAAACCTTGTTGCCCTCTTTGCTGGACTGCCGAAAAACTGCCAGAAAACTTCGTCACAAACAAGTAAACAAAACGTCCCACCCAAACCCATAGACTGTGACATATGGAGAACAGCACCGAACCTGCACCCTCGCTTTTAATTGTTGAGTCTTTTGATCGGTCGCGCCCTGTTGACTAAGGGCTTACTAGGACTACACTAGATTGTGAGGCTGTTGGACAGTTTGCCCGCAGTCTCAGGCTTAGATAGGCTGGGCATTGAGCCGGGATCGCCATTTCCCTGCAACTGAATACCTGGGGAGGGTGTATGTTGGGTTGACACACGGGAGAGGAAAAAGCATCTAAACCAAGAGCTTGCATGCAAAACATGTGCTAACAGCGTCGGAGCAGCTGATTGAGCACAGGCCAGATGTCGTCTGCTTCTTGGGCCGCGAGTAATTGCTGCAGGCGATCTGTAGAATGTAGAATATCGTCGCAGACTGACCGTGACACTCGTCACCATCACCATCACCCAGCAGCATCAGCACCATCTTCATTACCATCAGCATCTGCATCTTCCTCATCGTCACCACACCACCACCACCACCATCACCGTCGTCATCACTCCCCAAGCCCAAGCTTCCACGATGCCCCAATGCTTGGGACTACTCGACACTGAGCGCCTTCTGATGCCTTCTTGCCAGGAAGATGGCGTGGTCCAGGCTTTGAGCCCCGTAATGGACTTGAGCTTCGGGCTCTGGCGCTGAGTGTTAGAGGCTTCCAGGCTTCAAGTGGCTGAAGCTGCTTTGGGGTATTGGGGTTCATGTACCCACAGCGCAGAAACCTGGGAGAATCGGCAGGAATGCCAATTGAAGGAAAAAGCGGGTGCCTCTGGCGGAGAGCGTGTCGACGTGGATAATGTTGCCACGGGTAAACAACTTTGCAAAGCTCCACGAGAAGATCGGGATGTTTCTAGCCCGGCCAGTAATGCTACGATAGAGCGGGTTGAACATCCGAACTTGCTCATGGTCCCCGCACCCTACAAGCTAGCACAAGGTCAATATGAAAATATGCGGAAAGCGGACTCTGCGGCCAGTTGTCCTCACCGAAACAGACTCTGTGCGGTCTTGACATAGCTTGAAGAGCTAAAGACCTAGCTCGGGGACACTTATCCGCCTTTTCACCTGTGTTAGCGTCTTGAAGCTCCCTCCTTTGTCTGTTTCGGGTGTTGAGATGACAGGCCTCTGCTGCAGAAGCAGGAAGCTTGGAGAACTACCTCTCTGTTTGTCGGAACACTTCTAAAATTCAGCGCTTTTCGGCAACTGGGTGCCTCAGACAATCCAACCTGGACAGCGGCCAAGGACGCAGGATGACTCAGGCCATTTCGGCTTCAACATGACTGCACGCTTCTTCTGCTTAACGGTTGCTGTGCAAGTATGCTCTTCGGAAGCCGAGAAGGGTGAGTACTACCTACAATACCTGACTGACAGAAGATGGGATTTAGCGACTGGGTCAGCGTTGCCAGACCGAGCTGTTTTCATACACCACCCTGTGCATCACCCCAGGGCTGGGGTCATAGTATTCACAAGGCTTTTCGTTGCAGGGACTCCGATGACCAAAGCATCCCAATCCAAAGGGTCGCTAAAGATGAAACCTGAACCCAACTCGAGCGACAAGCCTTCTCAAGCCTTCTTCGCCCAATCAAAGCTTGCCGCCTGTCAGATTCGATGCGACAGGAGGAAACTCTTGAGGGCTCAGGGATACCTTTGAATAATATATATATATATATGTATGTATGTATGTATGTATGTATGTATGTATGTATGTATGTATGTATGAGTCGTACACACACATGTATATATATGTATATATCCCCATGTATACATACATATAAATATATACAGACACAAAATGTAGGTATGTATGTACTTAGGTATGTATGTATGTATGCATGCATGCATAAGCTTATCAACATATATGAATATATTTTCTGTATTTGCTTTCGTTACTGCGTAAATGTGTGTAGATATATGCTTCGGAGTCTGCTCGAGCCGATGATCGGAAACCTAAATCTCCAGGTAGACCTGTGCTTTGAAGCCCATACCCTGGATGCTGAGCCCATGACTAACACCTACATCAGTTCCCCATGGCCCTGGACGCTTGATAAACCAGCCTGAAACTGTAGACCTCAAACCGTAAGTCACTCGCCGGGCGGACATGCAAACTTGCTGCTCTCTCTCTCTCTCTCTCTCTCTCGCTCTGTCTCTGTCACTCTCTTTCTTTCGCCAGGGCTGTGGTGCAGGGGCTCTCTCTCTCTCTCTCTCTCTCTGTCTCTCTCTAGATATGTGAAAGTATATTCAAATCCTGTGCCCGCATATGTATGTGTATGTAGGTATGCGTGCATGAATGCACGTATGTGTGCATGCATGTGTGTATGTATGTGTGCATGTTTGCGTGCATATATGTATGTATGTATGTATGTATGTATGTATGGACGGATGGATGCATGGACGGATGGATGGATGAATGAATGGATGACTATGGATGCGTCCATATATGGAGTCATGCGTACACGCATGTAAGTATGTGTGGTTGTGAGTGTGTGTACACATACACACACAACATACAAACATATATACATACATACATACATACATACATACCTACCTACCTACATACCTACATACCTACATACCTACATACATACATACATACATGTTGGCACTCGCGCTCGAGCAGGCCAGGCGAAGACATACATACACACGTACATACATACATACATACATACATACATACATACATACGTACATACATGCATACTCACATCTTAGCACTCGCGCTCGACAAGGCAGACAGACAGACAGAGAGAAAAAAAAGACGAACATACCTACCTACCTACCTACCTACCTACCTACCTACCTACCTACCTACCTACCTACCTACCTACCTACCACCTACCTACCTACCTACCTACCTACCTACCTACCTACCTACATACATAAATGTATTCATACATACACACACATACATACATACATACATACATACATACATACATACTTACTTACTTAGTTACATACATACATGTATACATACATATTATAATAGAGAGATCTGACATGTGTTGTATGTATCTGCATGCATATACAGACATACATACATACATACATGCATGCATACATGCACACATGCATGCATGCATGCATGCATGCATACATGCATGTATAAGACAGTATATGTGTGTATATATATATATATATTATACACAGATAGTCAATGTTCTACATGTGTACAAATGCTTGTATATCGTATTGTGTTATATTGTGCAAGATTGTATGATATAGAAGAACATAGTCAAATATTGCATCATCTTTTCGTGTATTCTATTGTGCTATGTTAAGCATTATTATGAAAAATATATCTAAATATAAATATATATATATATATACACATCTCTATATATATATATGTGTGTGTGTGTGTATTATCCCGAGACTTGCCACCTGCACAGACGACTCCCCGGTGTAGCCGAGCTTCTCCTGCGTTGAAGGACGTGGCAGTTCCCTTGATGGCTTACTTTCGCAAGTGATGTGTTTTGGCTAGAAACTTGTTTCAAAGGCTTTCCGACAAGACTGCTTGTATGATCCTTCCAGCCCGGGTAGATCTGGTCGGCGTCATTCTGGAAGGTGAGGAAGGCACCCTTGATCTCCTCGTGGGTCTTGGCGAACTCGATGACGCCGTCGCTCAGGCTGATGTTGCCGTACTGTCCG